TCCTACTTTCAAATCCCATATCTTCTACCTTGGAGATTTTTTACTTAGTACTTTTTTGTTGGGGTTTATTTCTCCCACCATCTTTCAAACTCTGTATCTTCTAACTCAGACGTATCCCTCCTCTGCACTGAACGAGGACCTTTCAAATAATACTTGAGAGGAGTTTCATCAATCTCTCCTGAATGATTTTCAGGATTTTTGGCAGGGAATCATCCTGATAAAGGCTAATGGTCACTTTCAGTAGGCACAGGAACAATGGCAAGTTCAGTGTTATGTTCTTTTGACTGGCCATACTGGTTTCACCTCCTTAGGTTTATTCCTGCTCTTCTTTTTAGGAAGATTTCTTGGTCACTCCCACATTCTCTTCTGAGCAATTTGAATGCCCCCATACCAGCATGGTAATGGTAAGTACAAATCTTTCTTTCCATTTGTCAGGCTTATATGGCATTGGCGAACCCAGCCAATGTCTGAGTCTGGAGGAATATCACAGCCAAAAATCGCTCAGGTTGTACATTTCGACGCTTGATCGCCGCAGGTTCATAACATCACAAAGTGGCACTGGTCCAGCTTCTTGCACACTACAATCAGGACTGACGGTTTAGTATCAGTTTGAATAAACTGAACCACATGAGTGTTGAAATGCCACCGTCCCTTGAATTTATAGCATATAGATTTATCTGAGTTTGGTGCAGAGTTTTCTTCATCACCATCCAAAACTTGATAGACATTTTGTTTTGCACAGATCCAAATCAAACTGAGTCTGCTTCAAAACTGATGCAACAAGTACCATGAAGATCAGATGAAAATTTCCCCAGCAGCAGCTTAGATCTTTGCAACAAAGAGCAGTCCTCAGAGAAATCCCACCGGTAGTGTTGATCTTCACAAGCATCTTTTCCAAGCTTTGGAGGATGGTTATTTGATCAATTCCTACTAGTTTACTCTCTTTACTGAGAGTTCCCCTCTCTGAACCAAGAGGACCTTGGTGACATATTTAACATAAACGGCATAAGCATTGATCTCCGTGAGGCTTTCTCTCGATGAACTTATTTTAGCATCAAGCCACACCTACAGTAGAGAGAGAATTAGAGATCCAACTTAATAGGGTAATTGCGACATTCAAAGAAAGCAAATGTTGTTAAACCAAACATCAATGTGACTTACGGGATCTTTATTTTCTTCCTCTGAATTCTCTGCATTTTCAGTGGCTGAAAGCAGACATACATCAACTCCAGGCCTCAAAAAGCGTGCAGTCAGATAAAGTTGCTCTCCTTGATTTTAGTCAAGATTTGAGAATGGACGTTTCTCCTCAACCAGAGTTTGGTTATCTGTAGTGCATGGTGACAATCCCATCCTCGATTCTTATGAACTCCACAGGTTGCCATGAGTCATGAAAAAATGCCTCAAAAGCTGTTGTATGAAAAAAAATAAAAAAATCAGTCATATGGTTTATAACATATAGTATTGGAAACAAATGAAAAAGACACTCTTTCACTAATTTCCCATAGCAACTGATATTAGTTCATTATGTATTTTAGCTTTCAAGTGGTTTCAGTTATGTTTAAATTACTAGATGAATAAAGGCACTTCAAAGGTTTGAGATGACTACACAAAAAACAAATAATTGGGTAACATGGTGATTCTATCTTGCTTAAAAAAAAAAAAAAATAGGCATGAGTTGAATGAGAACACAATCTATCATAGCTCAGATAACAGCAAATGCCAAGTACAGTTCAACATATTCAAAACAAATCCCTTAAATAATTTCACTTTTTCTGAGTCATAGAAATAATCAAAAAGCCAAACAGTTCAGCTGTCATTTAACCGGTTAGGCTGTTACCCAAAGCCCAATAATTCATCAGTTTGTTAAGTGGAGGAGAAAATGCTTACGATAAACATCAAATGGATGCTTGGATTGATATAAATTCTCCTCCTCCTCTTCGGCATTGATCAGCCAATAGGCTTAATCTCTTCAATATCTCCTGTATTATTTAACAGATTAAGTCACATATCTGCAACACGAGCACGTTAGGCACATTAATGATATCTGAAATGGAGGTTTGTTTTAAGTGATTGGGAACATAAGGCACAAGGAACCAAAGACCCTAACGCCTATTGTGTTCTAAGCATAAGATTGTGTACCAAACATCACATTATTATCTATTACTACTACTTTAAAATTACTATACTATTAATTTCCTTGTGAAAGGAAAGGAAATGCTAAAAGGCATTGGATCAGTAATGGAGCCTGCTTTTGTTGTTCCACATACAAGCATGCCCTTACTAAAGTCATGCTCCACATGCCAAATACAATGGTGAGGGCGTTGTTACAATTATAGCTACTTTGCCGGTACCCACCTCTCATGACTATCATTAGCATGCTCTTGTCAAAAGCTTGACCTGGAATTGACCAGGCCAGCCACCTAAGAAAGTGTGGTCCAAGAATTAAGCTATTGTCATAAGACTGACTTTTTTTTCTGTTTTTGGTTATGCCATGTATGAACTGTTGTCCAAGAATCAAAGACATTTCATAAGACTTAGTTTTCTGCGCATGACTTTAAAATTAATCCATTATAGAATACTAGATACATACATTAACCCCACAAGACCACACCATTTAAGTCGGCAGAGAAAGACAGTTATTTGAACCCGCGTTAAAGAACTCATTTTCCATGACAGTATGTTACAAACCCAGATTGAAGAACTCATTTTTTCCCCCCTATGATAGTAGATTCGAACCCGCATCAAAGAACTCATTTTTATAAATGCCCCGAGGTTTATCCTTCAACCATCTTGCTACCGTGAGCAAACTCTTTTTTTTTTCATTCACCCTTTCTCCTATTCTTATAAGCCTTAAATTGGAGAAAATATAGAAATTAAAAAACCTTAAGTTCAAGCTACTGTTAGAACATAATCTAGATTATGCCCTGTCATTTATGCAAAGCAGAACCGTGACACTACTTGTCAACACAGAAACCATAGGGCCAAAAAAACTTTTTTCTTTTTAGTTTGCACCTAATTTCTTGTTTTAAAGAATAAACAAATTACCAAACAGAGAAAGATGCAGTAGTGACCACAAAATGGTGTTGGTTAGCTGTAGACTTTGAGATATTCATGATTCAACCACTAGAAGAATCACATGAGAGTAAAATTTTACTTGAAAGGGAAACTAATGCATGTGAATGATGTCACCACTCACCACAACCCCACAAAATACCAGCTAAAAATTGAATGATCAACAACAATGACAATACACAAAAATGATTATCAAATTCAAGTTTAAACAAAGAAAAAACAAACAAACACAAAGCCTGAGTTTGTATCATAAAATCATCCATGTTGATGATCAAAGTAATAAACTAAAAGAACACTGAAAGAATCCATGTCATCCAAGCAAATGCAAAGCAAAAAGCAAAGAACTTTGATCATTTTACCTGAAAATAACTTCTGGGTATGAAAGAAAATCCAGATTCCGATGAGATTGTGGCCTGAAAACAAAGACTGAAAATTTATTGAACATTCATAAAGAAGGGAGAGAAAAAAAGTAAAAGTGAGTGAGTGAATGAATGAATGAATGAGGGTGAAAGAGAGAAAACGACAGTGAGGCGGAGTAGTCAATGGAGTTGTCGGAGAATCTCGGGTTGTGTGAGTGGCTTTTGCATGAGTTAAAAGTGGTGGTCGTTCAAGCACGTTTGCGGTGAATGGCAAAGTGATGTAAATAAATGATGATTGGAGAAAGAAATGGACGGCTGTGATTGATGACGATGGAAGGGAGACATGTTGGGTGGGACCTATCTCAGGTACGAAATTTGATACTTAGATTACATTCAGGTTTCAACACGTGTGACTAAATCTAATTACCAAAAAGCAACAAGTCAAACCCCTTTTACTCTGCCATAACCAGAAAGCAGAGCCAACATACAGCTCATGGTCAGAGACTCAGAGCTCTCTTCCACATGCTTTCCAAATTCCAACTAAGGAAATTGGAGGGATTATCAAATTTAATGAAGGGTTTTAAGAAAGAGTTATGATTGTATTTAAAAGAAAATATTAAGAGAAATTATGAATTAAAGATAGTGCTGGAAATTGGTTAGAGGCATATAAGGCTAGAACAGCTGAACAGGGCATATTTGATTTGTTTGACTTCTTTAGATCTATTATCGTAGATACAAACTTTGGTGCATCGAATGTACATATATTCTGTTAATGAATAATCTTTCTATAATGAATGAACGATCTTATAAAATGAATGGACGTATACCAATTGTATTGAAAAGTTGCTCTTACTCAATAATTTGAGAGTTCTGTAGTTGGTTTTGTAATTTGATTTCGTTATCGATATGTAGTTAGAAAGTTGAAAGTGGTTAACAAGGGAAATACGGTGAGATGGCCTGTATTTACAGCAAATTTTTCAGGTATAGATATGAATGAAACTATATGCAAACACAAAAGGTATTATTGCATTTGCATTTGTTGTCTTACTTAATAAGATATTGAGAAATCCTAATAAATAATGTCTTTCAATTTGTTTCTTAGTGGAGTAAGATATACTAAAGTTATCATTATTGTATTTATTGTGAGAGTTGTAACATTTATTGCCTTATAAAACAATCTCAACAACCCCAGTCCTCATCTTTATTGGCTTTTTATTCTATTTTTTCCTCCATTTTATACAAGAAAATTAAAGTATTTCAAGATTTATTCAATTAATAATCCATCTTGTATTTAATTTGTCTTCTCATGTCAGTAATTTACATGATATTGATGTGAAAACATTCACTGTTCTGTTAATTTTGTTTAAAATAGCAAGAAAATTGAGGCAGAAACACCCAGTGATGAAATCGCTGGCCCTAGGAGAAAAAATTTCAGCTCAGTTGTGGTCACCAGAAAGTAGAAAATCTGAGCATAATGCTAAGACATCCATTGCAACATCAAAACCAAGCAAGCAGAAATGTTACTAGTCAATAAAAGACCAGATAGACAACAGTTAAACAAAAACCAGAAACTCAAAATTCCTGTCCGGTACAAAATATATTGAAATCTTTTAACTATTTAGAAAGATTACAGCACAAACTGAGTACTTTTGAGTATATCTACAACAAAGAATTTGTATCTCAACCGTTAATAACTAATATAAGTACACTCTCCAACCCCATCAAGGCATCAATGATGGTGCAGAAACAAATATATCTGCTCAATTCTCTAATCTAAAAACCTATAGAGAATAAGCCCATTAAGTAGTCAGTTCAGAATTAACTCAGTAACAATTCATTCTGAGGAACATGTTTAAATAGCAGAAACCATCTTCAGTTCATCTTGGACAAGACCTATTAAAGACTTATTAATCACGGATGAACAACACAGATATTTGATCTTGATCTGCTGCAATATCCAAGCTGGGATGTCCTCACTCCTCAGAACCCAAAGTCATTGCCATCCTCTTGTTTCAGGAATTGAAGGCCATAATCTGAAGCCCCCTGCTCTGTATGCAAAGACAAATCCCCATATTGATTTGGCAGCTGGGACAAATCTGATGGTTTGTCATACAGCATATGGCCATAGTCAAGTAGTCCTAGTTGATTTTGAGTGTCAAAACTCAACTCATCCTTTTGTTCTAGGGTGCAAAGAGGATTACTATCTATCATATTCAGCAGATCATTCACATCAAACATCTCATCCATTGACAAATTTTTTTGCCATTCTTCTGCATCTATCCAACTGTCGTCCGCTAGATTCATAAACTGCTCCTTAACTTCTGGTTGAGAGGCACAAGTAGCACCCAAAGCAGCCTCATCTCTCACTTCTGGCTTCCTATCATACAGTTCATCATCCACAGGCTCCTCTTTGGTTTTCGGTGGTTTCTCTGGACTACTTGAGAATTTGGCTTCGGGCTCAGTATTGATTCTAGATTCAGCTTCCCTACCATCATTCTTCAACTTAGAATCCTCAATCTCGGACCAGCTAGATGTTGTCGTGGATTCAGAATCCTTTGAATACTCATTCAAGTTAGAATGGTCTGGCAAATTAAGTCTCGCACCAGAACCATACATTGCCCTGGCAGCTTCATCATAAGCAAGAGCAGCTTCAACTGCAGTGGGAAAAGTACCAAGCCACAACCTCTTACCCCTGTTTGGCTCCCTTATCTCCGCAACCCACTTGCCCCAAGTCCTCTGCCTTACACCTCTATAATTACACCCTGCATTGTCCGGCCCTCCCTTGCCTTTCATACAGCCCTTCTTCGAGCCCTTAGCAGGGACTTTCCGCACCTGTTTATTCTCACCATCACAGGATTCAATAAAGGCATTATATTGCTTCCACTTTGCGAGAGTCTCGGCCACGTTAATGCCGTCTCTTCGCTTCCTCTTCCTGTAAGAATCAATGGCAGCCATTTTAGAACCTTGATTATCACAAACACCTATCTTCGCAAACTTCAATAATATCGCAAAGCAAAACAAATACGCTGTAACAGTCTACTCTATGTAATTACGAAAACCTAAATAAAACAAAACTAGACTTCAACTCTTGGTATTAGTTTTAGTTGGACTATGAGATTTCCTAGGCGCCAAGTAATCTCTGGATTTCTAAATTTAGAAAGATTACTTCAGCTCCAAGTAATAGGAAAAAGTATATACTTTAAAGAAGAAGAGAACAAAACGGATTGAACTTCTATTTTAAAAATAATAATAATAATTTTGACAGTTTCTGGTTACCCAAACAGATAAGTGAGAAAAGAATCTAACCCTAAAATTTCCAGAAATGCGAACTAATTCAAGATACAAAAAACCCAGATAAAGCATCAAATACCCACTTTAGGAAACCCCGGAAAAAAATACTCAGAAACCCTCGAAGCAAAGAAGAAAAAAAAAAAAAAAAAAAAAAAAGAACAAAATTAACAACATACCTTTCACAACCACTTTGTAGCGTCATACGAGAAGCAGTAGATGAAACCCTTTCTGACACTTCCGTAGCAGTAGTATTCGTTCCCTCCGAATGCGTTTTCGTTTTTCTCGTCTCTGTTTTCAGCGTCTTCGTTTCGTGAATTTTGTTGAGAGGTTTCAGAAGATTTTTAGCTCTAGAGAGTGTGTTTTTGGACTCAGAAATCTTTGAATAGGTGAAGCCTGAGAGATATTTATAACCTTCTCTCTAGATATTTCTGATAATATATTTTTAAAGAGACAGTGATGACGTGGAGGATTTCTAGTCGTATCGTGGCGCTTCGGTCTCCGTACGCTTGGGCACGTGTCATCCGAAGCTTCACGAACCACTAGCTATCACTTTTCTTGGTACCTACGTAAATTCCCCATTTTACCAATTTTCATTACTGTTTTGCCCTCCACTTTCTAGTGGATTCTCGATTCTGCCACTATACGTGTCAGTGGCCAACTGCAAGTGAACGGGTTCAAGCTTGATCTTAGTTGTAAATTTTGTTAAAAAAATTAATATAAATAATTTTCTCTTTAATATTTTCTATTAATTAGAATTAATATGATATTTTTTTCATTTAAAAATTTGATATATTTCCTCGATATTTTATTAGTTAAAAAAAATTAAAGTAATATTTTTGTTGAACTTTGACACATAAGAGACATTAGATGGTATTTATTGGGTCAATATTATTTATATTTATTATTTGTATTCTAATTTTACAATTATACCAATTAATGGAAATAATTTCTAAATTATTATAAATTACGTTAGTAAAAAGTGAATAAAATAATATCTAAAAAGGGCGAACTAAAGAGACTATACGTGACTTCAACCCACGGTTTCAGATTTAATTTTTGTTGAATGTAAAAATAATATCTTTAATATAAGATTTGTCTATGACTGATTTAGGGATTGCAACAGTGTGGTAAGAGTAATTCGACTGTTACCGTGTCATAACTTTAATTTAATTATAATTAATTTATTGGCCAACGACTTGCACATACCCAAGGTTTGCTGTAACGACAAAATGATATCTAAAAGGTTTGAAAACGACAAATAGGTACCTTCCGTCATGTGCTGTTAGTGATTTCTGTTTGTTAACAATGAAAAGACTAAAATGCCCTTGAAAGTGTGATATTTTAGTTTTTTATAAATTTAAAAAATTTCTAAAAAACCCCCTAGGTTTGCTAATTTAACTAAACACCCCAATATATAAAAAGTTTGTTAAATAATAAAAACACCCCCACCACCTGCAGTGCCAGATTCCGGCCACCACCGCCGGAATTTGGCCGGAAATTGCTTTACGACACAGACCCGTCGGATCTATGTCGTAACGCGTCAATTTGACATTTTCCGCCCAAATCCGTGGTTGATCTGGCCAGAAAAGGCCAGATCTACGGCTATATCTGGCCGTCGACGCTGCAGATGGAGTTTTGCGGCCACGAGGGCTAGATCTAGCCATAGATCTAGCCTTTTCTGGCTAGATCAGTCACGGATCTGGCCGGAAAAGGCCAGATCAATACATTACGACACAGAACCGATGAGTCTGTGTCGTAACGTAATTTCCAGGCCAGTTTCTAGTGGTGGTGGTCAGAATCTGGCATTGCGAGTGGTGGGGGTGTTTTTGTCATTTAACAAACTTTTTATATATGGGTGTGTTTAGTTAAATTAGCAAACCTAGGAGGTTTTTTAGAAATTTTTAAATTTATAAAAAACTAAAATATCAAACTTTTAAGGACAATTTAGTCTTTTCACTATTAACAAACAGAAATCACTAATAGCACATGACGGAAGGTACCTGTTTATTATTTTTAAATCTTTTAGGTACCGTTACGACAAACCTTGGGTATGCGCAAATCGTTCAGGCTTAATTTATTTTACTTTTAATTCTAATTAAACAGTCATTAAAAACGTCAGGGTCAGGGTTTATCCGAATTTCATTTTCTCAAGAACTTTATTGAGAATAAAATTATTTGGACCTACAATCGTTCAACTTTATTCAATGATTAACGTGAACATATTCTGTCTATCTATAGGATGAGCTTTTTACTCGTATATCCTTCGCATGTGCTCCACGTGTAAGAATCTGCAGCAAACACTTCATGCATGACGTGGCATCTTAAGACGTATTTGATGACCTGTCTTTTCTTCAGGGAGACATTGAAGAAAAAGTCAAATCGTCAACGCGGTGGCTTTGACCAGGCCAGTTTCTAGCTACTACCTTACCTTACCACTGAAGAGCTCAAGTTCCCCGAAGCAACTCATTGATTTCTATTGAGAAGGAGCTATATTTGCCATTTTCTGTTGAGGTCACAGCTTGCACAACTCATTCTTTAATATTTTCAGGTTAGGTTATTGAGGTCAAAAGTACAGCGAAAAAATTGCAGAGGGAAACAGATTTGAACTAGAACGGTGAACAACCCACAGTTGTCTTTAACAATCAGTATTGTATTTCTGATGAGGATTTTCTCTGTTCTTCTTTAATTAATTAATTAATGAACTAACACTCTAGTCAAAAACGAAAAAACAAAAGAAAATGTTGACCATTTTGTAAATGATTCTGTTAATGTCTTAGCATGAACCCCTGTTGAAATCAAATTGTGATGACTAGAAGTTGTTAAAACGATGTGATTAATAATCTCTCTGTCATGTGAATGCAGTTGAGGTAGATTAGATCCTTCTGTTTTGTTTATATAAATATATTGTCATTCAGGTTTTGACTAAGTAATTAAAATCTTCCTTTTCTTTTGTATCTTCTTCTTCTTCTTCTTCTTCTTCTAATACCAGGGCCATATGTCGTCTGGCTTCCATTCACAGCACATAAATATGAACAGTTGTATACCAATTGGAAAGAACTACATTAATGGCTTCCATGTTGGCAAAGTGAGTGCCAATAGTCCTTATGTGGTCTTCATGTTGCAAGCCACTGTGTTCTTCGTCATCTCCCGATCCATCCACTATCTTCTCAAACCTTTGAAACAACCCAAAATCATCACCGATATCTTGGTATGCTGATATCTAATCTTATATTTATATATAAAAATCATATGTAACATGTTAAATCTGGTTTTATCAAGATATATATGTTTGATTATTTTTTTTTCCCTCTTTTCTGCAGGCTGCAATTTTATTAGGACCCTCTTTTCTAGGCTGTAACCGAACACTCTATGACGCATTATTTCCACACGTTGAGTTGACGAATGTGAATACAGAAGCCCTGCTTGGCGGAATATATTTCATGTTCATAGAGGCAGTGAAATTGGATACAGATACGATCCTAAGAACGGCTAAATACGCTTGGAATATCAGCATCACATGCATCTTGTTTACTTTCGTTGTCACATATTGCCTCACTAGTCTTCTGCGTGATTACTTTCCAGGAGTCACTAAACAAATCATGTTCATCAATTTATGTATTATTTTATCTCTCACTTTCTTCCCTGTTGTTACCAATGCCCTTGCTGAACTCAAACTATTGAATTCTGAGTTGGGGCGACTTGCCATTTCTTGTGCTGTGCTAAATGAGATGGCTACATGGGTTTTTTTAGCAATGTCAATGATGTGGACTGGAACCATTAAGCAGAAAATACAAAGCGAGGTTAGTTTGGGTGCATTACTATTAATCGCCTTCTTCGTTATACGGCCAGCAATCGGGTTTATTAGTAGGAGCATACCGGAAGGAAAACCAGTGAAGGAAGTATACATTGTAGGATTTCTGATTCTTCCTTTAGTCATGGGACTTCTTACTGAAATTAATGGGATGACTCCTTTGCCGGGAGCTCTATTGGTTGGGTTATTGATACCTCCAGGACCTCCTCTGGGTTCAGCTATAGTTGAGAAATGTGAAAACATTAACAACAACATTCTTATTCCTTTTTTTTATATGAGCGTCGGTCAACTTACAAATATATACTCCATAACCGATTGGAAAGTATTTGCATCGATGTTTATGATCTTGATTGGGACCTTTTCAGCGAAGATGCTAGCAAGTTTGTTCTCCTTGCTGTACTTCAAAACATGTGTTCGACATGCTATCTTACTCAGCCTCATCTTGAACCTCAGGGGGATTAATGAGTTGTTATTGGCTTTAAGATGGAGAAGAAGAGAGGTTAGATCATCTTGTTTTAATTTAATTTATTGTAAAATAGAACTAGAATTCTTATTTAATGTTTACTAAAATACTTCTTGTTTCCATTTTACAGTTAATAGATGAAGCCACTTATACCTCATTGATATTGAGCAACACGATTTTGATTTCAATAGTAACGCCTTTGATAGAAATTTATTACAAACCTCAGGAGACGCTCGAGACATCGGATGAATATAAACCTCTGGCGGAAGCACTACAAGCGATGCCAGAGAACGTTGAACTGCGAGTCCTTTGCGGCGTTCACGATGAAGGTAACGTCCACAGCATTATCACTCTGCTAAAATCATTAAACCCGGTTGAGGGGAGTCCTATAACTGCATACGTACTCCACCTTCAAGAGCTTGTTGGACGAGCAGCACCACATTTTGCTCCTTACAAGAGTCAAAGGAAAAAATTATTAAAAAATTCCACTGATAGGATTATCAATGCCATATCAAACAACTTTAAAGGCTCTTCTTATGTAGTCAACCTTGAGACCTACGCAATGATCTGTCCTTACAACGTTATGCACCAAAGCATCTGCAGCATAGCTCGCGAAAAGAAAATCCCTTTGATTCTACTTCCCTTCCACAGAAGTGTAGAAGTTGAAGAAAAAACACTGAGGATGCGCAGTTTAACCAAGACAATGGAGCAACATTCACCGTGCACGGTTGGGATTTTCGTTGATAGAGGCTTGCCTTTTCAGTTGAACACAACACGGTCGTTTTTCCATGTTGCTTGTTTCTTCTTATGCGGACCAGATGACCGAGAGGCAGTGGCATTAGTTTCACGCATGTCTGACCACCCTTCCGTGAGAATTACGCTGTTTAGGATTATCTTTAAACCAGATCATGAAAAGGCGGAAAATCATAATGAGAGGATGCATGATGATTCTGTCCTGAGTGACTTTTTGTCAAAGAATGCTAACAATAATAGTGTAGTACTGAATAAAGTTTTGGCATACGACACAATGGAAGTAATAGACGCAATTCGTGCTGCAGAATTCGATTATGACCTGGTGGTGGTAGGAAAGCAGCGAGTTATGGGGTCACAATTGGATCAAGAAATGACGCCGTGGGTTGAACACAAGGAGCTTGGTATTATTGGTGATATGCTTGTTTCTAAAGATTTTTGTGGGGGAATGATGTTTGTTTTGGTGATACAACATTCAATTAACGTTATGGATAGGAATAAGAGCAAAATCTCATCTTTTTACTCGGATAAAGATGATAGAGATATTAATGACCAAGGCATTGAGGTACTTCATGATAATGCAAAAATTTCTGATGAAGTATAAATTGAATTTTATTTCGTCTAATTTTGTTTCTTGTAGATGTGTAGTTGAATATCAATTTTGATTTAATTATGTGCTATCCTCTTATTCATTCCTTTGTTCATTCATTCGTTCATTTGTTTGGATGCATCAAGATGGGATAGAAACCATATTTTTGAATTAAATATTAATATATCAGGTAGTTCTTCAGAAAATCAAAGTTATATATATATATTACCGGTGCATAGAAACAAGAAACAATTCAAACAGTGATAATATTTCAAACAAAAAGAGACAATTCAAACAGTGATAATATTTCAAACAAAAAGAGACAATTCAAACAGTGATAATATTTCAAACAAGAAACAATTCAACTTAAATGGACTGCTAATTAACAAGAAACAACTCAAACAATTCAACTGATAATTAACAAGAAACAATTCACACAATGAACAGGTAATCCAGGTTGTACTTAAGCAATCAGTATTATTATATTTCTGTTGAGGGTATCTCTCCTTTGTGTCTTACCCATTAATTAAGTACCAATCTAGTTATAAACGAAAAACAAAAGTGGACTTAACCAATAACCATTTTCCGATTGATTTGTTAATTATAATTACTGTATATATTATCATGATCATTACATACCCATCACCATCACAAATAACAAGCTTAAGAATATAATTGATCGAGTAAATTCTTGAACTTAAATCTTCAATCCATTCTGACCCTTTCTTTTGTATCTAGTGCTGCAATGGCTGTCATTCTCGACTCAGAATTCTTACACGTACATACTTGTGTATTTTATGGCGATAATATTAGTGATTACAACATTTACAACGTGAGAAGATACAACCCTGGTGATGTCACCGCCATTAATTATTTCGTGATCTTTCCTGTCTGCCTGGTGCAGCTCATCTTGTTCTTCTTTCTCTCTCGACTGCTCTACTTTCTTCTCAAACCCTTGCACCAATCTGTTATTGTCTGCAACGCCTTGGTACATTAAATAATTACATACAATATATTAATTTTATTGAAGTGATGTAAAAATAGTTTTACTATACATTTTCATATGTTTGATGATTTTCCTTTCATGCTGCAGGCTGGAATTCTCTTAGGTCCCTCTGCTCTAGGTCACAATAAGGCAATCCTGGAAAAACTATTTCCTGAAAGTGAGATGGGGGTGGTGAATACATTCGGTGTAATTGGTGGATTATATTACATATTCTTGGAGACAGTGAAAATTGATAAGGAAAGAATCATAAGAACGGCTGAATACGCTTGGAATGTTAGTATTTCATGCATGTTATTTGCTTTCATTATCACATTCTCTACCGGTTATCTGCTACTAGATTATATCCCAGGAAATTACAGAGGTTTCTTTCTTTTCAGTATAAGTATTCATTTATCTCTAAGTTGTTTCCCTGTTATAGGTCATGTCATTACTGAATTCAAACTCTTAAACACTGAATTAGGCCAACTTACCATATCTTGTTCCATTCTCAATGAGATTGCTGCATATTTTATTATAGCACTGTCACTGTGTTCAACTGGAACCATAAAGGATAAAATCGAAAGCACGGCTTGCTTTTGTGCAGTGTTATGCATCGCCGTCTTTTCAATACGGCCATTAATACTGTGGATTATCAAGAATGTCCCAGAAGAAAAACCAGTCGATGAAATTGTCATTGTTGGACTATTAATTCTCCCATTTGCCTATGGATTTCTGAGTGACATGCTAGGGATGACCTTTTGGCTGGGAGTTATATTAGTTGGATTAGTGATACCACCTGGGCTTCCTTTAGGTTCAGCTCTAGTAGAGAGATTTGAAAATATCAACTCCAGCATTTTTTTACCTTTCTTATATCTGAGTCTTGGCCAACTTACCAATATATGCTCCATAAGAGATGGCAAAGGATTTAGAGCAATATTTTTTATCTTACTTGCGCCCGTTTTGGGGAAGATGTTGGGAAGTTTGTTCTCCTTGTTTTACTTCAAAACAAGTATCCGAAATGCTGTCTTGCTCAGCCTCCTCTTAAACTTCAGGGGTGTACTCGACTTCACAATGGCCCAGCGTTTTAGAAGAAATGAGCTAATGGATGAAGCCACTTATACCGCATTCATATTGACCAACATTTTTGTGGCCACAACTATAGGGCCTTTGATAAACATTTTTTACAAACCTCAGATGAATCTTGAGGAGCGTGCTTTATGTGAGCCCCGCATGATAACGCTGCAAGCGATGCCGGTAAATGCTGAATTGCGCGTCCTTTGCGGTGTTCATTGCGAAGAAAATGTGCCCGGCATCATCACTTTGCTAAAAGCATTCACTACTCCAACTGAAACAAGCCAAATACGTGCTCACATAGTCCACCTTCAAGAGCTTGTAGGTCGAAGAACACCACTTTTAGCAGCTTACAATCACCGAAAGAGAAGAATATTATTTCCTAATTCCACTGATCGGATTATGCGTAAGGTGTCAAACAACATCGAAACCTGTGCCGTCTCTCTTTTTGCCTACACAATTATTGCTCCATACAAGATCATGCATCAAACCATTTGCAGTCTCGTTCAAGATCAAAGTATTCCTCTCATTCTACTTCCCTTTAGTAAAAATCAGCTACTCCATGGAAGAATGAGGAATTTCAACAATTTAAACAATAATATCCAAGGATATTCACCATCCACAGTTGGGATTTTTGTAGATAGGGGATTGACTGATCATTTGAAATCCAAACAGACACATTACCACGTTGGTGCCTTCTTCTTAGGCGGACCTGACGACCGAGAAGCAATGGCATTGGTTTCACGCATGTCTGAAAAACCTAATTTCAGAATTACATTGCATAGAATCATCTTTAAAATGGATTATGAAAAAGAAGAAAATCAAAGCGAGAAAAATCTTGATGACAGTGTCATTCAGAGATTTTTGTCCAAGAATAAAAATAATGCAGGTGTTAGATTTGATGAGACTGACGTGGATAGCACTGCTCGAGCAATCGATTTAATGAGGTCTATACAGAAAGATTATGACCTTGTAATTGTAGGAAAGAGGCGAATCGAAGGGTCACAGTTGAAGCAAGATATGAAGCCATGGCTTGAATACGAAGAGCTTGGTGAGATGGGTGATTTTCTTGCATCTAAAGATTTTTGTCAAGGCACAATGTTTGTTTTGGTGATACATTGTGTTGGAATTTCACGTACAATTGTTGCTTCTCCTGTTAAAGTAAAGGGTAATACTGATGAAGTTAGAATTGACGTCGGGAGAATTACAACTGTATCATAGAATAATCGACCAATTTCGATATTTATTTGATATTCATTCAAATTTATTAATAATGAAATGATTCAACCCTCTAGCTAATTTAATTAATTTCTTCTGTCATTTTTCTCCATTTTAGATTATGTTTAATATTTATTTTTATTTTTTTCACACAAAATTATCGTATAATTAACCATGGAAGTTCATTAAATGAGTGAAAAACAAGGAATTAATTAATATGTCAAATAATGTATATGTTTAAACAATATAATTAATTTATAGCAGAAATTGGGTCATCTATATGTGGTTTTACTCATAAAAATAACATATACAATGTGTGTATATAATATTTCCATTAACTAAAAACAAGTTTATTCCTAGTTTCTTTTTTAAATTTTTATATATAATCTTTTAACTAAAATTCAATTTTGTACTCTTAAGAATAATTTTGGGAAAAGAGAAACATGCATACGAAAGTGAAAAAAGGAAAAGAATAAGTAACCTACAAAGATTAATCGATTGAGATGCCTACAAGCTTGTCTGGACACCCTGTTTCAAAAAAAAAAAAAAAAAGGGTAAAAAACCATGCATGGATTATATTAACTAATCGTCAATATATTAAACTTAAATACTAATGTTGAATCTTTATTTACTAATTCAAGAGTTTAGATAAGTCGTAATTTGACCTGATATTCAAATTCAAATCTTCAAATCGACATCCTAATATTTCAACCTAACATTTTCTCCACCTCATAATGATATGTTGACAGATAATTAATAATAATAAAAAAAACTTACTTGCAAATATATATATTTGTTGTATTATATAGTATATAATTTTTTCGTATGAAAATATAAAAAATAAAAATAATTGAATTATCATTCAATCATGCTTTGAGAGACTGTCCAAAGTTGGTAGCAAATTAAAGTTATTGTAACAATTAATTTCCTGCTTCCAGTTGCTTGACAAAATATATTAATCATTGAAACTTACGTAACTCATTCTTGCAACAATTTCAAGTACTAACTATATATATTCTGGCAAGTATGGAAACTTCATCGAAAAAGAATATTAACACTTTCATCCCTAAGGTTTAAGTTTTGTTCACTTTGCCCCGGTACTTGGGATATAGACTCTTCGTTCCTATCTAATGACTGACGTTAGTTTTGTTAGCTCACTTTCTTAACATCGTGAGGGTAAATCTAACATATTAATAAAATGTAAACTTAAGAAATCCCTTACAGTGGTAAGAAAGTGAGCCAACAACACTAATGTCAGTCATCTGATAGGATTTGAAGTGTATATATCCCGTAGTATTGGGGCAAAGCAACAAACCCCGAACATCAGGGATGAAAATAAAAATATCCGCATAAAGAAACAAATTCCATGATTCTGTATGCACCGAAATTAATTCATAGATAATTATGACAAGAAACAATTAAAACCGTGAACAGCTCACGAAACTTGTTTTCAATAATCAGTATTTACATATTTCTGTTGAAGGCTATTGATCTGTTCTTCATTAATCTTTTAGTTGATTACCTCAACCATTTTCTCTCATCAATTACTAGAAATCGTTGAAAGATTGTAATTTGATTATGACCATAGCCTAAGAGCTTAACCATTCTCTCGCACTTGAGGGAGCTTAAATTTTGTGAATATCATTGTAATTAAGGGAGCTCAGGGATTACATCCATTCTCATCCTTTCCTTTTTGTATATTCCTCCACTTCTGGTACTGCAATGCATACCTCCCAGCTGATTCCTTCTCCACACTTACACGTGAAATATTGTGTAGCATATGGCCACGGGAAGAACCATAGTCATGACATCATTAGCTTGGGCAGCAACAAGTTTTGTTCCCTGTCTTCATGATGCAACTTGCAAGCCATCTTTTTCTTATTCATCTCTCGATTGATCTACCTTTTTCTCAGACCTTTGAACCAACCAACTATCGTCTGCAATGCCTTGGTATGTTGGATGAGCCAATTGATGTTTAACTTGTTCTTTTATTACGTTAATGATATTACAAATAAGTTCATTTCTATTATTTTTCAATTTTTTTTTCTCCACTCTAATTTTGAAACTGAGATACTAATGCAGCGTAGATAAAAATAGAATAAGGATAAAATCAAAGACCTAGAAACAAATTATTATTTGTCTTGATTTAGTGAATAAACTCATGCAAGAGTTAGAACAATTCTCGGCAATTCTCAATGAATCAGCAAGCTTTGTAACATCAATTTACAGGGTATTCTCATAATCAACAGGGCTTTGATTTTATCCCTATTCCATCCTTATTCAAACTGCAATAGATACTTAATTGAAATTGTTATGCCTGGGAACTTAGGGCTGATGTGGCACCTTGTTAAGTGCGCAAGGTCAGACCTCGGGAAAAGCCTACTGCCATCCTGATGCAGCTGCTTCGTGTAATCACGGTGGCACCCACAACTTACTTTCTTCAGATTAATGGGTGCACGTCAGGTCAGCAAAGAGTTGTGATGATCCCGCGTGTCCAACCCCCACAGCAAATCACATGAATTACTCCAAACGAAGGATTTGCGCGGATCATCCCACCAACTTTCAGATTCAGTGATGATTGCCTCAAGGCATCCCACTATAAAATGGGAGTTCCTCTCTCATTAAGGGGATTCGCACATTTTACTCTTGATAAGAGCTTACTCTCTAGAAAAGACAGTCTTCAATACCTTGTATTGTCGGCGTAAAGTCAGTCGTCTAAAGCGACCTGACCCTCATCATTAATAAAAACATTAGTGGACGTAGGATTTGCTTCCTTAGCATCTGAACCACTTTAAAACTCATTTCTCACTGCATTTACTTCCATTCTTCTAAAAACCTTTCACGTGTGTCTTTTGGGGCCAACTCAACATTTCACATGTGCTTTTAGTTGGTGTCAAAATCGTGCATCAACAGAAATATATAAAATGAAGATTACTAGTACATTCATTGCATGTTCTGATTGATGTTTACTATTCATATGTTTGTTGATTTTTTTTTTCGAGGCTGGAATTTTATTAGGTCCTTCGAGTCTACGTGGCAGGAATTTCAGAAAAAGCTGTTTCCACCCGAGGAGATTCTGGTGGTAAATACATTGGGTATAATTGGTGGATTATATTACATATTCTTAGAAATAGTGAAAATGGATAAGGAAAGGATCAACGGCTAAATATGCTTTAAATGTTAGTATCACAAGCATGGTGATTACATCCCTTCTGGTAATGTCCATCAGGCGTCTGCTGCAAAAATATGTTCCAGTACCTTATACTGAAATCTTTCTTGGCGCCACAACTGTTGTTTTATCTCTAAATTGTTTCCCTGTTATTGGTAATGCCCTTTCTGAACTTAGATTATTAGATACCGAGTTAGGAAACCTTGCGGTATCTTGTTCCATACTCAATGAGATCACTTCATATGGTGTTATGACATTGACAATGGCTTCATCGGGAACCCCAAAGCAGAAAGTGGAAAGCTTGTTTTGTTTGTTTGCAATATTATATCTCACTTTCTTTATTATACACCCAATTGTAGTTTTAAGATTCTAGGGTTTATGATTAAATCTAAATCAGTCTCAAACAGGTCATCAATCAACGATTAAACACAAGACAAATGGAAAAATAAAAGGAACAAACATAAAATAGGACACAACTGTTTATAGTGGTTCGGCTTTACAGCCTACATCTACTCTCCAAGGCTCAGAATAGGGGATTTCATTATCAATCAATAACGTACAACGAGAATGATTTCATCAGAACATAAGGGAAAAACAAACAAGGAAGGAACACACCAATTAGTAAAGCCCTAACTCTCTCAACCCGAAATCTGCTTTTCCTCCAGCACCAGCAGGTGTTAAATCCACATGCTCTAAGCCTGAATCCTCATCTAGTTGTCTCTGATTCTCCATAACTGCAAGATCACAAAATCAATTCTGGAACATTCGGTAGGGTTGTGAGTTGTCGAAGCAAAACAGCAATGAGAGAGGGGAATGAAGTCTGCGCACAAAATGAGATAACCCAAACAGATAACATATTAGGTTTGGCCAAAACGACGTCGTATAGGAGAGTTTGACTTTAACACTTAAGCTGACTTCCACTGTGGCAAATAAGGAGCCACATCACCATAATTCTCCACCTTGGCTTCTTGATTTGTCACCCCCCCATGTGGCCTTGGAAATTTACCAGTTCACTCTTGAACTTGAAGCAAGCTCATACAGAGCCTGTGTTTTTCAAATGGGATAGATTTTGTGAACATGTCGGCAGGATTATAAGATCCATCAATTTTCTCAATCTCGATTTCTCCCCTTTCAATCATTTCCCTAATGAAATGAAGACGGACATCAATGTGTTTGGTTCTTTCATGGTAAACTTGGTTTTTACAAAGGTGAATCGCACTCTGACTGTCACTGTTAATCTTCACTGTCTGTTGCTTAATACCCAGCTCATTGATAAGACCTTTCAACCAGGTGGCCTCCTTTGCTGCCTCAGTCAATGCAACATATTCTGACTCAGTTGAAGACAAGGTAACCATATGCTGCAATTTTGATTTCCAACTGATAGTGTTTCCCCACAAAGTAAAAACAAACCCAGATGTAGACTTCCTTTTGTCTAAATCTCCTGCATAATCTGCATCTTAAAAACAATTCCTGTTGATTTGGTTCCTTGTAAGTATCTCATAATCCATTTAAGAGCCATCCAGTGAGTCCTTCCTGGATTGCTCATAAATCTGCTAACCAAACTTACAGCAAAACCTAAATCTGGTCTGGAACATACCATCAAGTACATTAGGCTTTCAAGTGCACTAGCATAAGGTATCCCTGTCATTTCAAGCTTCTCAGTTTCAGTCTGTGGACTTTGCTCATGTGAAAGTTTCAGGTGAGCATCGAGAGGAGTCTGAACAGATTTAGCATCCAACATGTTGAATTTCTTCAGAATTTTCTCAGTGTAGTCCTATTGGACTAACTTTAGACTTTCATAAGCTCTGTTTCTGACAATGGAAACACCAAGAAT